AAAGGCGATGAACGATTGTATTGATAACAGATGAAAAAAAATACATAAGATACAATGGATCTTCAATTCGAGAGGAAGATCCGACTCTCCCAAATCTTTAGATGCCGCTAGAGCAAATACAATGAAGAACAACTCAATTCAGAAAAATACTTGCTATCCTATGCCTAAGAAAATATTCTACTTGAAGTATACAATAATAAAGGAAAACTCTAAACAGCCCCTCTGAAATTTCCCTCCTAAACCCCCTTAAAACCTTTCCTAAATCATGTTGCCAATAGGGGCAGAACATGTGGCTCCTTTGTGGCGAACCCTGTCCGCCTCTATAATAGAGGTTGGTCCTTATTGAATCAGTCTAACAATATCCCCCTCCTGAAGACCCACCTTGAGGAAGACGACACCCTCCCAAATTTTCTCATCATCATAAAAGGTGAGAACCTGAAGAGTTTGATCCTTATATCGGTGCCTCGGTGTATACCTCTCCTCACATCTAAAATAGAGCCCCTTCACTCCCTTCTCTAGTAACTCTATTTCTGAGAGTTCTTAAAGTTATCCCAAGGTTTTCCTCCTTCAGCCTTCTCCTTCTGAGTCTCCTGAAAAGTACCCAATGTCGGCTCCTTGGGTTTCAAAAAGGTGGTGGCTATCCTGCCTCCATTCTCTCTCTTCAGGTGCCTTTGATCCTCCATTAATTGAGCTAAATTCATAGCCTCTCCCAAATCACAAGGCCTTATCACTCTAACTGCTACTCGAATATCTGGGTTGAACCCTTTCAAAAGTTCCCCTCAGCACAGTCTTCGGAAGTCGGTCCAGTCGGCTGGCCAGGTGCTCAAACTACTCACGGTATTCCACCACCATCCCCTCCTACGTTAGGGCGAAGAACTGCTCATAGAAGTCGTCACCCTTGCTGGTTTGGAAATATTCCAACAAGCAGTCCTTAAACTCCCTTTAGGTCAGTATGGGTCACCTTGTATCCCTCCACTGATACCATGCTAAAGCTTTCCCCTCCAAGCACATACCCACTGGCGGCTGCAATCAATCTCTCCTTTTTCATTAATCTATTGACAGTAAAGTATCTTTCCACCTTGTAGATCCACCCATGGGCATCATCTCCCTCAAAAATAGGCATCTTCAACTTTCTCACCTTCGAATCTCCTCAATTCCCCCTGTTTCCTCAAAAATTTCACATTCCCCACGGGGTGGTTACCCCCAAATGTCCCAATCCCTTCTATGCTCATACCAAAACCTTTCATCAAATTCTCACCTTTTTCTTTCAAATTCAGCACCACTTGGATCATAATAAACCCCTTTCCTTTAAAATTCAACTCCCTTCAGTCATAATTAGCCCTTCCCCTTTCAAATTGCGCCCCTTTCCTCTCAAATTCAGCACCTCTTCATTCATGCCTGACCTCCTCAGACCTCTCCCCATACCATCTACTTGGCTCCCATAGAGAATGCTCTAGGGGAGGCATTCTCTCTTCTCCCTTCCAAATCTCCACCTTCTGATCTTCCCTTTGCCTTATTGGATTAGACTTTTCCCCACTCCCTTGGTTGTCGTAGGATTCCCTCGCCTCTGACAACGTCGTTTTGGGTTGACCCTCGAGCAACTTCTTAAACATCTAATCCAGGATGAAAATATTCCCATCCATCTTCTCGTGGATGACTGAAATTTGACTTTTGACATTTGAAAGTTGAATTTTGAGATCTGAATTTTAAATTTCAATTGTCCAATCTCTCCTTCCAACACTTTTACCTTTCTTCATGCCATAGGTACCCGGATTTAGGCTCCCATAGCAAAAAGCAACATTTGATGTGAATCTGGCCCCCAAACAACAAAAATAGCAAAATCAAAGAGGAAACATAGCAGAAATCAGCGAGGAAGACTTCTATTTCAGCCCAAGAATTAGCTCTGATACCAATTTGATAGGAAACACTTGTAAATCACAATAGAACCATGGCTGAAATTGAATTTCAGCCAAAAATACAAAGAACAAAGTGGAAACAAAGGCAAGGATCGATTGTGTTGATAGCAGATGAAAGAAAACACACAAGATACAATGGATCTTCAATTCGAGAGGAAGATCCGACTCTCCCAAATCTCTAGATGCCGTGAGAGCCCAAAACAATGAAGAACAACTCAATTTAGAAAAATACTTGCTACACTATCCCTAGGAAAGCATTCTACTTCAAGCATACAATAACAAAGAAAGTCTTTAAACAACCCCTCTGAAATTTCCCTCCGAAACCCCCTTAAAACCCTACTGTCAACAGGGGTGGAAAGTGCAGCTCCTCCGCCTCTGGAATAAAGGCCAGCCCCTCCTGGAGTGATCTAACATAAATCTCCCACTCCATCAGTCAAATGACAAGAGCTATCAAGTTTCAAGCATATTTAACTTGATAAGTTGAACTGGCCTAAATTATAAAATCTTCTAAATTTGTCAAAATGTTAAGACAAACATAGAAAATGATCCTTACTCAAGAATACAAAATATTGAGTTTAGTTAAAAAGTCAATTCCTTCAATAAATTCAAAAAGCACAAAACAAAAATCAAAGTAACTTGTCTTCATCAACAAGTCTAATAAAGCATGGAGCATACACTACAGGAATCTAGGGAATTTCCAGTGGTTTTATACGCGGGAAATAAAACATATTCCGATGTTAATATAAATTTCCAGCTGATATCAATCTTCCGCTAATACCTACATCGGAAAACAAGTTGCAGTGGATTATTTTCAGTCGAATATGTTACTGGCAGAATTCAGGTGGATACTCCAAATATTTTTGTTGATCGAAACCTTCATAAATGTTAGCATAACCAGCGGATTTATGCGGAATATTCTGCCAAAAATTCCACCAGAATATTTTGTCCCACTCCCGTTGGAATGATTTTCGGCAGTATATCTGCCCAAAACATATAGCTCAGCAAAAAAAAATCACTCCACATCAATTTTACTACAATAACCCACAAGGAATGCATCATTCACTTCATAGAGAGTCTTTGTTCTCCAATACGGCAATGGTCGAAAAATATTTTTTTGCCCGAGTTCACTCCATAACCAAGCATATTGTTAGGATCTCTCTCAAAAGATATCAAGCTAATAGAATGTGACACATGTCATCTAATCAGTGGCTTTGCACCAAATGATACCACAAATATACGATTATAACTGCAATCCTTTGATAGGATGATTTTGATACAAAATGACACCATTAAATTACAGTCACAGCCATAGCCCGCAAGTTCCCCAATGGCTATGCCTCCTTGAGTTATGAATCATATGGTTTATTTCATATGACATAATATTGTCCCTGAGCTAAGATTAATTTAAAATTGTACCCTTCAACAAACACCAATTACAAGTCTATAAGATTCTCATAGATAAAGCAACCCTTGACTGCCAACAATAGTACTTCAACCAGGTTGGATTGATCAGCTCTTATAGCTCAGTAGACTAGAGTCAATGACAACTTGAGACATAGAATCATGTGATCTTGATCAGGCTCGTTGTCATTTCTCCCACCATCCTTTTTAAGTTAGCAATAACAGATTTTTTCAATATCAAACCAAAATTACTACTATTATATGCTAAGAATTTTAGCACCTAATAACTAATTTTAATCAAAACTTCTCTCATCATTATGAGGGATAATTAATTATAGAGACATATTTATGGGAAACCTTGAATTATTTATTAAAATTCCAAAAAAATAAAGGCAAAATCTCTAGGTAGTGTCTTATTTGCAATCCAATATACCTTTTAAAAATTTAACCGAGAACAAATCTCTATTTAGAAGAGCTAGGTATGATTTTTCAAAGTACAGAATCTAGATATAAATGTTGACAAATAAAGTCATAATAGTATGTTTATGTTTCAACCCCCCCCCCAAAAAAAAAAAAAAATTTAACGTAATATGAGGAAAAACTAGAAATGATAGATTAAGAAAAAATTATATTAGAAAGATCTTAGGAGTGGCACTCATTAAAAATGAAGTAGTGGAAACTAGGCTTTAGAGGTTTGAACAAGTAAATGGAGAATAGAAGATTCACTAATAGATGTGCAAACAAATTATAGGAAGTATTTACAAGGAAACGTGATATAGCAAAACAACCATTGATAGGAGTACTATTCATTGGAAATGAATGGACAAAGAGGACTCATAAAGCCAATTTAAATAGTTAGATAAGGTTATTTATCAAGATAAAGTGACGAGAAATTAGGACAAACCTAACAGAGTGAAAATAATCACCCTTACTTTGATCAGTAAATTATTTTATTTGAAAACGTAAGAAAAGCAGTGCAATGTCTACATTATATAAGTCCTTAGACCATGAAATGCTTGTTTTTGTAAGTCACAAGGTTAGGAAGAGAGAGAGAGAGAGAGAGAGAGAGAGAGAGAGAGAGGATTATTAGATATAAGAAATTCACCAATATTTAACAACGCACAAAAAAATCCTTAAAACCATTTTCATTCATTTCATATAACACAGCGATTTTTTTATCTTTATGGTGCATCACTGAGAAAAGAGGAGACATGATTGTATTTATTTATTATTTTTTTAAGAGGAGACTGGATATTTGATTACATGGTTGCACTGTCATGTCATTCATCTTGCACTGAGATAAGAACAGCAAAGCTTTTGATTGCAGCATGCCAGCTAATATGGCTAAACAAGTCTGCACATCATACACAACGAGTAAGCAATATTGTAAATCCAGTAAATTTCACTCCACTTATGGTTAGAAGTTCCATAGGAAGCTTGTCATTGCAAGATATATTAACTACTACAAATGCACAGAAACGTAGAGCAACTGCCATCAATTAAAAAGGCACTGATGGTGCTGTTTGAGTTCCAAGCTAGAATGGTTCAGGTAAATATAAATGGGACAGCATTTGGCTACAGAAAATAGGAGGAAGTGATATGTGTTATTCGAAAATGACAAGTGCAGATGGACTTATGAAACAATGGAAAAATTAAATAAAATCAAAACAACTAAAAAGTTACCTGACATTAACAACATTGACAAGATAAAGATGAGTATTGTGTTGAAGTAAGGCAAAAATTTCATCAGCAAGGCCCACATATGTGCAATTGTTTACTATGTCGAGGAGGCCTACAGCAATAGGACAAATGACTTGAGCATAGTTTATTCTGCCCATATTTTCCAACAATAGACTGGTATAATAGATATTTTAAGGTAGACACCCTACTCACCAGGATGAACATTAGAATCAATATCTCGAACAAGCTCCTGAATGCTGGTCAGATCTGAAGCTTCCTTAGGGTTCCTTCTTAATCGTATAGCATTCCTGTGCGATGTGATTAAAAATGAAACACAACTCTCATAGAATATTTAACTACCAAGCAAAAAAGATGGAACATTAAAAGAGAAGTATCAGAAGTTTCAATCGATATCAAAACATCAAAAAAAAAAAAACTGCTAACAGCAAACATTTAAATGCCTAATTTCCCTTTCATGCATCTAGAAGCATTCTCGGATAATATAGCCACAAAAGATACAGTTCAGCTTTCTAAGATTGGTTTATCACTCATAAGATCAGTAAATTGAAGTCACAATTTCATTTGGCATCGCTTCATTTTCACTTACAGACAAACTTTGAGCTGATTTACCAAAACCAATTATGAACTGCACTTGTACGTGTAGTTCCTTAGACATTTGCAATTACGTTTATTCAATTGTGGCTGATATTCAATGGTTGAACCTGTTCTGAACTCAATAAGTACCAACTGTTCCTATCACTTTACTGCTTTATTACAAGTGCCTCGTGCAACACACGGAAAATGAATGCTTTAATACAATCATTCAAGCATTAAGTTGAGGAGAAGAATACATGAATATAAACAATATTATGCTGATATTGAAAAACTTTATAAAGAACAAATGCAATAGCAAGCTCGAATTTATGGTCAAAAGCAGAGCCAATCAAGATTAAATAAATACAATAATAAAATCTATCATATTATCAATAACAACCACTAAATACGAAGTGAGATGTTTAAAGCTTCTGTACGTTAAAACCGTTGAACAGTAAACACAATAGCAAAGAAATAAAGGACATGGCAACCAAAAAAAGATGCTTAGATCTACATAAAAAATCGATAGATAGAAAAAACAAATTAATGTTCAACATATAGGTGCCACAAGGAAATGCAAATCCGAAACTAAGCAAAATCAATGTTAATAATGGTCGTTGAATAGAATGTCGCATTAAGTTACATGAACGTGCTTCGATGAAAATTTAAACTGGTCAAACATCATTGATTTCACAAAATAAACCATGGTATGTGATCAAAATGCTGTAATTACCATGAAAGAAAAAAAGGCTGCAATTGATTTGATTGAATGCGTTGAAAAAATAGAAATTGAGAGCAACATCATGTAAGTATATCCCAATAGACGTTGCACGAATTAAACTTGCCAAAGCATTTGCTCATTTCATAGGACAAATGCAATTGATGCGTCTAGAATGTTGGGGATCGGAACCAGCAGCTAGGGAGATCGGAACAGGCCACGAGAAGGAGAACAAGGAGGGGAAAAACCGAAGAGACATAGGGAAAGGAAAAGGCCAAATTCCACTCCACTTAATGAGCTAACCAGAGAAAAAAGTTTACATATTAATGAGCTAAACATCAGCTCAAGCAATTATAAGCTAGAACCAAGTAGCTCCCAAAGAACACAGCCCAAACCCGAGCAGCCAAGGCCCAACCCGAGAAGCAACCAACAGCCCAAAGACCAAAGAACCCAAGTAGCTAGCACACCCAAGGTTTTCCATGTCCAAGCACTACCTACTCATGATCATTGGATGTTTTCCATCATAGGATAGCATAATATAAATATATATATATTTTTGAATTCCCTCCAGTTCCTGATAGGCTCCCTCCTGTCACGCCACTGATACCATGCCAAAGCCTTTCCTTCCAGACACAATCCTGCCGCCATCAGCTTCTCATCCTCTGTCAACCCATTGACCGCAAAGTAACGCTCCACCTTGTAGATCCAGCCATGGCCATCTTCCCCCTCGAAAACGGGCATCTTCAATTTCCTCACCTTGGGATCTCCCCGGTATCCTCCATAGCCTCCCATTCCCCTCAGAGGAAGCTTTCCCCAATTGTCCCGATCGTCCCTCCGACGAATATACTCAAACCCCTCTTCATACTTACCTCTCCTCCCTTCAACCTCATTACCTCGATGCTGAATACCTTCAAATTCAGCACCTCGACGATGACGTTTCTCCCTTCTTACTTCAAAATCTCTAGACGCCGCTAGAGCCCAAAGAAAACCTAAATCTAAGCGATCTCAAATTTCAGCCAAATTCCCGATGCCCAAACCCTAAGAAAAACATCTATTTAATGCATACAAATCAAAAGGAATTCCCTAAACAGTCCCTACATTCAAATTTCTCTCTGAAACCCCCCAAAAATCCATCCTAAAATGCTCTATATGAGCGGTCGGGCCACTCGTTCTGGCGGAATCTCCGCCTGTTTTGAGATTTTGCCCGTGAACCGGTCCTGCCTGGACCGGCTGGACCGGTCTAACATTAAGCTCATTGACTCACCTAAGTCTCACAATTTTTCTGTGATTAATAAGCCTTATAGTTTTTAAATATCCTTTGGTGGATATGATCAACTACAATTATTTAAAGGATACAGTAAGCATACCCTACTAAAAAATGATCTCTAAAAAAAGCAGATGAAAGTCAATTTAATCAACTAGAAAAAGAAAACTGAGACATGCAACCAGTCTTTTACCTCACTGAAGCTAGGTCAGGTTTTTTTTCATTTTGTGAACCAGGCCTATCTTGCAAGTAGGCATGCAGCCTACCAGAGGGATCGCGTGAATCAGTTCTAACCATCTTATTAATTGGAAGTTTTTGAGACTTTGTCACTGCAAATTAACATCCAATACAGATGTAAATTACAAGACCATCAGCTACAGAGTTATACTTAGCAACGAGAAAGAATAGTGTAAACAACCGTGCATACCAGTAGAGAAAGCTTGAGTGTCCTTTTTCACACCCAGATGAGACACTGCGGTGGAAGTTACTGCCTGTGTGAGTAACAAATGGATTTACGAGACATGAAAAACTTATTGCAATAGAAATAATAAATGCATAACTTTTCATTCTGCTAAAAGATTTAAAACCAAAAAGAGGTCTAAGCAAGAATCGAAAGCAAAGAAGGATTTATTAGTTCATTTTGAAATTTGCAGGGAAAGGCTGATGAAGCTGCTGTTACTGCTGCTAATGAAGATGATATCATGTTGCACTTAGAGTGTAACATCGACATAGAGGACTTCAGTACAAAGAGTAATTTAAGTACTACACTACTACCAAACGGCCTTTTTCACGTTTTCAATAATTGATGGGGACATCAGATCATGGAAGGTTTATCATAAGCGTGGCCGCTGATCTATGGCCACGATTGAGTCATTGTATTTTTTATTTTATGTATTTTCTTATTTATGATGTCGTATTGTATTTGTTTTATTTAGTTTCCTGTTGTACCCTTTTATTAATGGATGTCGTATGTAAGCCCTGAGGGGCATTGTCGTCTTTTATATTTTTGAGTCTTATGTATGAGGCTATTTATAGCCCATATGTTTCTCTTTGCAAATGAATGAATGAATGCAAGAAAATTTTTCACAAATCTTTTTGTGAGTTCTCTTGAGAGCTTGAGAAATCTGAGTGAGATCCCTAGGAGAGGGAAGATTGTGCATCACCCACCAACCTAGACGAGTCAAGTTCGTGGTTCTTTTTCGTATCTCTTTTCTTCCTCCCTCACCACCACCGGCGGCCCAATTCCCTTTCCTCCCAAGCCCTAGACCGCCGGCCACCCTAGCCTTCCCCACACCACCCAAAGGCTAGCCCCCACTCCATCACAATCCACGACCAACCAACACACTGCCGGCCCCCTCCCCTTGATTTTCCCATCTCCACTTACCATCAAATCTTTCCTAAATTGGTTTGCATATTTTAGGTAACTCTATTAATTATTCAAATTCAAATCTATTTGAATTTGAAATAGTTACCTAATTTATAATTCCTATTTTAGGAAACTTGATTAATCAAAGCCTATTTTAATTTTAAATTAAATTGGGATGATATCTTTATTCCAAATTTAATTTATTATTTCAAGAAAGCATTGATTGCCTCATTGAATTCCCCTCCCTCACACCAAGCCCCCCCCCCCCCCTCTTGATCCAATTGGAATTATTTCCAAAAGTCCACTAATCTCTCTTGGCAATAATTCCTATTTTCCCTCCACCTCTCTCCTGGCCGAAACCTCCAAGGCCCCACATCTTTAATTATTTCCAAAAAGCTAGCCCCCCCCCTCTCTCTCTCTCTCTTAAGGAAGTAATTACCTATTCCCCCTCTACACCACCCACCCCCCTCCTCTCCCTCATAACTTCCTTAAACTCTTTCCTAATCAACATGCTTTGATTGGGGCAATTAAGTTCAGATTTTCCCTCCCAAATTCAAAAGAAACACTCACAAACTTCAAACATAATCCTTCAAAATCTGAACTAATTCTCTCCCAGACCTTTCATCTTGGCCGAACCCTTCCCATCTCCCTCTCTCTTGTTTCCTGAGAAGATCACCTCTCTCTCAAGAGATCTTGGAGCCTTGAAGGATGTCACCGCTACTACTACTACACCCAACAAGCCAATGCATGGCCGATCCCGAAACTGACTATGGACTTGCTTACGACGAACACGGCTTCGTGCACATTCTCCATTCAACATTCTTTGACGTCAACCCGCGAATCGACCATACGGTTGAGGACTACATCGAACGCATATTGGACACCTTGGTCGAGGCTATTGAAGAGCAATTTGAGATCGTCGAGTGGAGGATCGCACCCGGTCCTTGATGAATGTTTTCTAATTTTTCCTTTTCCTCGTATTTCTTAAGTCTAATCCTTTCTTGTGTTTTGATTGTAGTCACGAAGGTCGCGTTCGCCCGATTCTGCTAAGCTTAGTAAACGTAGGGATTTGAGTGCATTCATGTGTTTTCTAAACTTATTGTTAGACTAGGGATTTTCGTTGAAAGCTACTACTTTGGCACGATGTTATTTTCTTACGTTATTTTGATGATTCAAAATCTTTGATGTGCAAATTAGCCTTAACGACAGTGACCCCTCTTACGTTTTGATCCGTCGTTTTATTTGCTAGTAGGTTTATTTGTTATTTCTCTACTCAACTAATTGTGCAAGTTCTTAATAAATCATTGCAAGCATTATAGTCCTACATCAATAATTTAAAGCACTTCGTAATAGTTGAATTTAAGAGCATATGGGAAAGTGGATCTTGCTGCAACTTTACAAGTGAAAAACTTTAAAAGTTGCACTAGTTATCACATTTACAGAGAAAACTGAAAACAAGAAATTAAAGAAACATTCAGCACTAAGCTCCAAGATGGATGATTAGATTAGGGAGCATAATATCAACTACATTTGTAAAAAAAAGAGGGGGGGTGTGGGGAGGGGGAATAAAATATCATTTGCATTACTCGAGCATCCTAACTTTAAAATTATGTCATATCCAAGATTGTGATTACTCAAGCATTCTAATTTTTGGAGAAATTCCAAAATTCTAATGTTAGCACTAGTAAAGGAAAGTAGTTCCTCATGCAGCAGTGCGTGTCTTGAGCCATAAACATGTGAAAACAGAATAATATCAAGTGTCGTGCTGCCCAGAATGCATCATCCAACAACTGTAAGACCAATATCAAGTAATACGCTGTTATTAAATGGATACATGGAAAAGCTGTAACGTGCAAAGTCTTCTTTAATAGTTTTATTCAATCTTTTATGTTTAAGGTATGCATGAAACGCCATACATATACTCATGAAAGAAAATAACCGATTAAGTCATAAGTGAAAAAGAAGTGCCAAGTTTAAATGTAATATATATAAATATCAATAATTGAAACAAATCACACCTCCATTATATGAATACATGAAGCTGACCACACAAGTTGAGACACTAAGGCTCCCCCATATGCTCTAGCTTTCATATATCCCATAAAATTTGATATATCCATTTGCCAAACAACTAGAAACAAACAAGATGAGTAACAATTGAATGTGATAAAAAACAGCACCTTTAGCTTTCTTTAGCATTATACTTGATGAGTGTGAACTAGCCAAGGTCAAACCGGGTCAATTGGGAATAACGATAAAAATGTAGTTTCAAACACAACAAAGCTCAACAACATCGATGTTTTGCCAAAATTTGGCACACCAACTGAGCTTTTGGCCACATTAATAAGTGTTATTGTGGAGTTTTTTAGACTACATAATTAGCAATTAAAATATTTTGCCCCATTAAGCTAATATATTCTCTTTTTATTGAGACTCTCCCAACTATTAATATCTTTTTCTATTATTTGTATTTTACCAATAAGCATAGACAACAATTTTAATGAGAAATCTAACAAGTTCTTTTCCCTTTAACATGGCATCGAAGAGGAAGTAATTGCACTAACAGTTGACCGCACCATTCCACGCCAATCTTTCTATTCATGCCCCAGGCTGGCCCGCCTAATCCCCTCTCTAACATGCCCATTGCATCTAACATAGCCATTCCAACACCACTCCTCCCTGCTCACTATATAAATAGAAATTTCCCAGGATTACATGACAAGCATCAGGAGTAATTACACCATACAGTGCAATGTCAATAAAATGCTCAATAATTAAAAATATCATAGTGCATTACTTAGTGACCCTAAACTTAGATCATTTTTAATCCACCCCAAGGCATATTGATATGGATGTGAATTGGTATCATACCAAACTTATGAACTAAAGCTTCATAAATAAATTTTTTACCCACACTAACAATTGTCATTTTTATCTATAGATTGATACTAAGGAGCCCCTCCACTTGCATGCCATTTTCATGTGCCACCACGGATAGTACTTTGACTTTTTCAGAGGATAATAATTCTACACATCTTTAGTGATGGTAGTAAGAGTCTTTTTGGCCTTATTTCATTCTAACCTCTTTCTCATGATGTAATATCCAACAATTGTTTGGGGGCAGCTTCCAATAATTGATATTTTTATCTAGATAATGAAATTGAAAACCACATGTTTCTGCTTGTCATTGTCTTGTGAGATGAAAGATGATATTTTAGTCTTGAAAAACTCTATTAGTTTTTGTCAGCTGTAATAGTGAGTCTTCTTGGCCTCCTCTCTTTTTTATCTTTTCAGAGAGTAATTTCCAACAATTTATGTTTAAGTGGCCCTTGAGCTTAGAGTGGGAACGATATATTTTTGCCTTTACTTCTCTTCAAAAAGCTTCTCATCTTTTGGTTTAACATTTTGAAGGAGCTTACAGCTTTTGTTATTTTGATTAGCATGTTTTTTTCCTTAATGGTTATAGCCTTCGAACATGCTTTTAAGATATTATCAATACGGAATAATTTTAGCCGAAGTCCTTTTGTAGCACTTCTATACGCATACAGAAATAAAATTTTCCTAAGAGGGATTCCAAAGAAAATGATCAACCTATAGAATAGCATAATATAGCCCTGCACAGTCTATTTATACTTTTGCATTAATTATTGCGACTAGATCCACTTCTATCCATAGGCAATGGGATAGAATTGAGATTAAAGTAATCCCTCAGATAATATCAACCTTATAGGATGTGGATCTCAGATTTAAACTCCATTACAAGAGTGCATGTGAGGATATTTCCAATTGAACAAAATCACTCCATTGCAATATTTCTAAATGGAAAAGTATGTTTCACGAGGATAGCATACTCTCGTCATTGATTATGTTGTCATATGTACAGATCTCCAAATTCACTTCAACTTTGAATGGAATTTGGTGTCTAAGATGGTGGGTGAAATTATTTTCTCCTTCCTCATCATCATATGATAGTTAAGTACCATATTCCTAATAGGTAGAAAGTGATAGAGAGAGGGGGTTTCTTAGTCAAACAAAGGAGTGTCGGTTAACTATTGAAGAAAGAGGAAAACCCCCATTAGAATATGGGTGGGGGGGGGGGGGGTGGGGGGGGGGGGGGGGGGGGGG